TGAAAACGACGTTTTATATGAAAACAGAGGCACTTTATTGCTCTATTCGGTAGAAACAACAACCGGTTTGTTAGTTTAACGGTTTTCTGAGACTGAGTCAAAGTCTAAACGCGGATTTGAAAAGCTGCACTATTTTTACACTTTTGCGTTTCCTGAAATTATTAGGAACTTTCTGAAAACGAGGTTTTATATGAAAAAAGAGGCACTTCAATGCTCTATTCGGTAGTAACAACTGAAGGTCTGTTACTTTAACGGGTTTCTGAGACTGAGCCGAAGTCTAAGCGCGGTTTTGAAAAGCTGCACTATTTTTGCACTTTTGCATTTCCTGAAATTAATAGGAACTTTTTGATAACGATGTTTTGTATTAAAACAGGAACACTTCAATGCTCTATTCCGTAGTAACAACTGAAGGTCTGTTACTTTAACGGTTTTCTGAGACTGAGCCAAAGTCTAATCGCGGTTTTGAAAAATGCACTATTTTTACATTTTTGCATTTCCTGAAATTATTAGGATCTTTCTGAAAACTTCGCTTTGTATTAAAACAGAGGCACTTCAATGCTCTATTCGGTAGTAACAACTGAAGGTCTGTTACTCTAACCGATTTCTGAGACTGAGCCAAAGTCTAAGCGCGGATTTGAAAAGCTGCACTATTTCTGCACTTTTGCATTTCCTGAAATTATTAGGAACTTTCTGAAAACGTGGTTTTGTATGAAAATAGCGGCACTTCAATGCTCTATTCGATAGTAACAACTGAAGGTCTGTTACTCTAACCATTTTCTGAGACTAAGCCAAAGTCTAAGCGCGGTTTTGAAAAACTGCTCTATTTTTGCACTTTTGCATTTCCTGAAATTAATAGGAACTTTTTGATAACGATGTTTTGTATTAAAACAGAGGCACTTCAATGCTCTATTCGGTAGTAACAACTGAAGGTCTGTTACTCTAACCGTTTTCTGAGACTGAGCCAAAGTCTAAGCGCCGATTTGAAAAGCTGCACTATTTTTGCACTTTTGCATTTCCT